GTCGCCATGGGGACGGCACCATTCCCCTCCCGGGCGGCAAATCGAGCCGTGAGGGCGTTTGCTCAGGGTCTCGGCCCCGCTGAGGCGGATGGTGGAGGCACAGACCGCGGGACAGCGCCGCTGTGCGCATCAGTAGTGCGCCTGTGGAAATGGATGGAAATGCTGTTACACAGCTCGAGCTTTCCCCGAGTGTATCCCCCACAATAAGGAGTGTTGCCTTTTTCCTTGTGCTTCACACTCCCTGGGGTTGGGCAGGAAAAGTGGAGCTGTTTTTCCCGCTGCGTTCAGCTCTGGCTCAGAGTCCTCACACTGGGCATCACCTTGGGAGTCGGGACCAACATCATCTCCTCCAGTGGCACAGGCCACTATATCCCTCTCTTGTAAGCCTGGCAGAGGTGTTTCCACGTTTCCATTCAGGAAATCCCATGAGTTCAACTGGTGTGAACCAAAATTAATCTTTTTTTTCCTGGGGAAGGAAATTAATTATCATCTCCAAGAAGAATCACCGTCACTCAGTAAGGGCCCTGGGTATTAAGGAATCTCTAGACACATTAAAAGTACAATTCCCAACCAAAAAAACTAATCCCTGTCCTTGGATTTCATGAAGTCTGTTGCAAGATAACGCTGACCGCTTGTTTATTAAACTATCTGCTTAGGCACCTGAGACAGAACAAGTCCAGTGATTGAGATACATCAGTGAAACAAAACTCTAGTTGGATCTCCCTCTGCCTCCTGTCACAGCTCTGACTTCCCCAGTTTGTAAGGATTTAATGCGGGACAGTTTCATGAAGGATTGACTTACTGATTTATTTCTGGCCTGGGTTTTAACCCCAATTACCCCTCGTTTACTCAGGCTGCCAGAGGAGAACAAGCTGTGCTTGACTCCACAGACTGCTGCTTTGCTACCTGTCCCCAGATTCCCTGCAGGTCACAGCCTGGCAGTGTTGGATGGGTGTTTAATGAACAATTCATCACAATACCTTTTGCCATTCTCTGAAATACCAGGAATTTTTGAACCCTGGTGTTACTGGGAAAGCCTATGTTCTCAATGGATGAGGTTTGGGCAGACCCAACTGCCCAGGGAAGGATTTTCAAATGAACAGGTGTTGGGCAGAGGCTCCCAAAGGTGCTGTTTGTGTTTACTGCCTCATCAAACCCAGCAGGTACTTGCCTTCATGCCTCTGGATCTTGGAGGGGTCTGTTTCCCCTTGTGCTGGGATTATGGAGTGCTGGGCTGTGTCCTTAATGCAGATTCACTGTGTTTCTTAAGGAAATTTATTTCAGCTCCATGCAGACCTTATTTGTGCAGCGAGAATAACTCAAGCTCACTTCACAAGGAGAGCAGGAGGATTCATTAACAACTGTGAGGCACTACAGAAGTGCTAAACATTATTAATAGCTCCCAAGTTTTCTTCTTTTGGAAACAGTGGCCATTTCTGCCCATAATGTTTTAAACAGTTGCTGCTCAAGGAGCTTAGATTGCAGATTCCTGGCCTGTGGTTTGTCCATAAATCACAGACCTGGAGCCTACCCAAGACACTCT